TATCGAGTCAATTTCAACTCATAGCAACTCTATAGGACAGAGTAGAACTGCCCCATAGGGTTTCCAAGGCTGTAATCCTTACGGAGGCAGACTGCCACATCTTTCTCCCATGGAGCGGCTGGTGGGTCCGAACTGCCGACCTTTTGCACTTAACCACTTTTGCACTTAACCTTTTGCGCTTAACCGCTGCACCACCAGGCTCCTTTAATTTCAGGTTACCAATGTGTTAATACCTGCTTCACAAAATTCCTCAGTATTTAACAATCAGCTTTCAGAAGTTGCTGCAAGCTGGCTGCGGGATACCCTGCCACATCCTGTGTTTGCTCCAAGCGATCATCTCAGGGGAAAGGCGGCTGGCCTTCCCTGGACCGGGGGCTAGTCCCTCTGGGGCCCTGGTGACACTAAAGCAACAGATGTGTTTTCAAGCCCTTCAGAAGGTCACAATACTCAGGTGGGTAATTTGAGGGAACTTCTTGGTCTTTTCATCAAACAGCGTATAGGAATCCGTGTAAACTGCCCTGAATCCTGTTAGAGGGGCGGAACCCGTCTGACAGATCTAGAAAAGGCACATTATAGCCAGAAAGAAATTCTTTCCCTCCCGAACACCCTCATTTCCTGTCCAAGTCGGCAGATGAAGAGGTTCAAACCTTCTTAAAGTTACACGTATGCTCTCTTGTGAATCAAAGCAATTCAGGATGAAGGGCCCCTTCTGACTCAAGGCCACCCACATAGCTTCCTTCCTAATGTTTCCACGGCACCCTGCCATGTCTCATTCAACCCCTTTTTCTCATTGTTCCGATATTCACATCGACTCCCGACCCCTGCCCCCACCACCCATGCACCCCCAAACGCCCAAACAGTGGGTTTCTCAAGAGAGGGATTTTGGTTTACTCCTGTAAACCAGTGCTGAAGACCTGGTGCATTGCATAGGGTCCCCCCAAAATTGCTAAATGACTAACAATTCTAGTCTTTCTCCAATGTTTTATCAGTGAGAAGTGAAGGAATGAAAGAGGCTGAGGGGCTAGGAAATTATCAGAAGAACAAACACATAATGAACCCAGCCGGGAGAGGCTTGGAATTATTTGCAGCCCTTGTCTGGGGGTGTTCCTTGGCCTGGGGGGTCGCGATAGACGAGAAAAGCAGGAAGTTTGCAGTTTTGATGAAAATGATCCGTACAGGCAGTCCCCGGGTTGCAAACGCGATCCATTCCTAAGTGTGTCTTTCCGCTGAATTTGTAGGTAAGTCGGAACAAGTGCATACAGCTCTTATTTAGCCTTATTTGAGTGCAAGAAAAGGGTTGAAGCCTTTTCGATGATTTAAAAGCTGCCTGTGCACCAAGTGAAGGGGATTGTGGTGAAGAATTTGTTGCAAATACAGGTCGGTTCAGTCGTTTCAAATTCAGGGCAAGTGCGAGTTGTCCGTAAGTTGGACATTCGGCCCTTGGGACGTCCGCAACCCGGGGACTTACTGTATATTCTGGGCTTGAGGACTTAGACCCGCTGTGTGCAGGGAGAGATGGCCCTGCAGGGGAGGGCTCACAGACTGTGGGTTCAGGTAGATGGTGTGTGAGCTCCAAGTTATGTGGCAGCTGTGAGTGCCGGAATGACCGGGACTCCTAGTGTTGGCCTGGGTGCTTCCTCAGGTCCACACACATCTAGAGAGCAGTGCATAGCCTGAGGCCCCGCGAATGTCCCATCCCCACTTACCTTGCTTCGCTGAGAGTGGCTCTGAGGAAGCTCTGTGAGGCAGTGTCAGGCTTGCTGGAGAAGCACAATGCTAAGAAGGACAGGTGCCTTTGAAGGGCACGTGGTTTCCTGTGAGCTCAGCTCTATCCCTCACCCATCTCTGCTGAGCTCAAATGGGCTTTTTGATAGAAGCAGAAAATGAGTGAAACTTAGTCACTCTTAGTCACTCATTTCTCAAAACTGAACTAAGAAGGCTTGCCCTTTGCTGGATGAGAGAGAAAAATGAAGTAAGTTTTTTTTTTTTAAAGAGAAGCTTCTAAATTAAAAAAAAATTTATTTAGCTTTAGTCAACCACATTCTCTAATTCAGTAACTGGTGTGTCGTTAATGTGCTGGGATGCTAACTGAAAGGTTGGCAGTTGGACTCCACCCAGAGGTAGCCTGGAAGAAAGGCCTGGTGATTTACTTCCAAAAAATCAGCCACTGAAAACCCTGTGGAGCAGAGTCCCACTCTGGCACACGTGGGGTCACCATGAGTTGGAATTCACTTGGTAGCAATCGGTTTTTAATCTTGTGTAAAGTGACATGACAACAGATCTTCAAGCCCCTTTTCCAACAGGAAGACCTCTCCCTCCCCAAGCCCTGCCTACTTAGAAATAGTGGCGCTTTTGCCCACAGCGGACTGGGACGAGAGAGTTCCTTTGGGGGTGGGTAGGCAAGGGGTTGGCGTCATTCCTGAGTCTTTCACGTCTCCTCAGCTTGTTGCCGGCTTCCAGAGGTTGTCCCTCTGTGTGTCTACAGATACTCAGTGCTTTGGTTCAGCTTAAAGAGCCGCGAAATGTCCCTCTTTCTGAGGAATTTGCATGATTAGGAACTAAAGCATTAATCTAGAGCAACTTTTTTTCATCATCGTCCCCTGAAGGAGCTTTTTTCAACTTTTTTTTTTCCTAATTGCCCCATCTCCGTTAAACTTTAATACCACAGATAAACTAATCTTTTGATGCACTGTATAAATATCTGTGCTTTATAGATAAAAAGAGTAAGAATTTTCTCCTCTCAAGAATCAATTTTCACCTCTTTGGGGGCCTTTACTGAGACGGAATGAATTAGCGCAGTGGTTCCCAATTGGGCTTCTTTGCCACCCACCCCCAAGGGACATTAGCAATGTCTGAAGTTGTTCTTTTTGTCACAATAGGGCAGGGGGTTGCTACTGGCTGCTATTGGGTAGAGGCTAGGGATGCTGCTGAAATTCTACAGTGTACAGGACAGTCCCCCACATCGAAGAGTTATCTGGCCCAAAATGTCAGAAGTGCTGAAATTGAGAAACCCTGTTCCTAGAACGATATTTCCCAGAGTATGAACTGTGGGACCAGGTTTGTAGACGTCCTACAAAAGAAGAATGGGAATCTGTGGTCAGACCAGGTTTGTAGACGTACTACAAAAGAGGAATGGAGATCTGTGGTCAGATAAGTTTGGGGAATGCTGGGCTTGCGTTCAGGGTAAACACAGTTAGTTCCTGACTGCAGTGCTTCTCAGGGACTTTGCAATGCTAAGGTCATTGTGAGTCTCTGGAAGGCAGATATAGAATTAAAATGTCCCAAACATATTTGACCAGTGTAAAAATGGCATGGCATCGGGCTTCGCCTAACTTTAGGGGGAGGAGAGAGACTCACAGTCAACATCAGCACAAGGCTGATTCCATGAGGTGGAGAGCAGACATTAAGTCCACTCTCCAACCTTTTTACCGATTCTGACACCAACCATCCCTCCCACGGCTCTCTCTACTTCCCTGCTGGATTCAATAATTTGTTGCAGTGGCCACACAGAACTCACAGACCATACTCATGACTATGGGGTTTATTAGGGAAGTAACAGGTTACAGTTCAGGATCAGGATCAACTTGGGAGTAACAGGAACAACTCAGGATACAGTTCTTCGATCAGGTCTCCTGCTTCTGCTGCTGCCATTTCTCTGCCACCGGACTGCTGCTTGCTGCTGCTTCGTGCTGTCTCATGCCATCTCTGGTGTTACAGCTCTATCGCCTGGTCTAAGAGGTTCTCAGCACAGAGACCCTGGGTCCAAAAGACATGCTCCACTTCTGGCTCTTCTTCTTGATGGTAGTGAGGTCCCCCTCCAACTTCTGGGATTGGCTTCCTTTAAGCCTAGCATGGTAGTAGAACTGACTAATCCCCTATAAGGGTTCCATGCACTTGTTTGCATTAGCAAAACTGTCTGATCCCCTTGGTTGGCCACAAGCACCTTATTTGCTTAGTCTCACTCATTTATTTCGTGGGAATTAGAAGGCCATGGCTAGAAGGGCCATATAAAAATAATTCACTGCACTGCAACCAGTGAATCTCTGCCTATCATGCAGTGTAATTTATAAGATAGATGTTCCATGGAACATATTTTTCAAAATGCGGAGCCTGAGGAAGATTCTACCATGGAATTCTAGGCCTTGAGGGACAAGTTAGAGAGCTGTGGTGGTACAGGGTAAAGAGTGTGAAATCACATCCCCCAGCAAGGCCTGGGCACGTTCATCTGAGCACGTTGTCTAGATATCCATGGACCCTGGGCTGCAGGGAGGGGGTGTTACGACTCTGGAACATATGGTATCTTCTGAAGATCTGTCATCATCATAAGTGGTCACTGGTCAACATGGTTCTAGAGAAGTTCCCTTGAGAGTCAGTTAGTGCCTCTTGACTAAACTTGGCCACATAATGGGCTTGAAGAGTTCCATGAGTGGGGAAAGTGTGCACTCCAGTGAGCATGTTGGTTGAGAGCACTTGCTTTGACACCTGTTGAGTCTGGGTTTGGACCACAGTGCCACAACTTATGAGTTCCATGAGCCTCAATTTTCTCATCTGTAAAATGGGAGTGATAATGTATGCCTCAGAGGATTGTGGGAGAATTAAATGAGCTAATATTTATAAAGCACTTAGCATAGTGTTTGGTACACATAGGTGCTCAACAATGGAACCAGCAGTGGAAATTAGTAGGATAAACAAAATACACAGGGATGGTTTCCTCTCTTGAAATAGCTGAGCTTGGCATGTTGCCCTTAGCCATAACTAGGATCCCAGGGAATGTTTGAACTTGGACTCAGTAGACCACATTCAATTTCTGAGTCAATGTTTAGGTAAAAATAGATTCCAGGTTTTCAGTGTAGCAGGTTATTGCCTTGGAAAAAGTCAGTCTTCCAAAGTAACAGGAAATAGGCACAACAATTTGTCTCTATTCACCTGGAGCAACACAGGGAAGGAGAGTCAGGAATAGGAGGAGGATATGGAATGTGTGGCTGTCTCCATAAACAACTGACTCCTTTGCCATGAGACCAGAAGAACTGGATGGTGCCCAGCAACCATTACCAAACATTGGGATCAAAGATTCTATCAAAGAATCCTGATCGAAAGGGGGAAAATGCAGAGTGGAATTTCAAATTCTCATGGACTCCAGACTTTCTGGAGCCATGGAGGCTGGATGAACCCCTGAAACTATTGCCCTGAGACAATCTTTAAACCTTAAACCAAAAATATCCCCTGAAGTTCTGTTAAAACCAGACAATAATTTAGCTTATCTAGTAAAGAATGTCTGCTTTGATAATTAGGCTCTTTTAAGAACTATCTATACGGGATCAAACAGACAACAGTAAATCGAAAGATTAGATAGGAACCTTAGCAGGTAGTGAATTTATGTTAATGAGGGAGGCACAACTCAGAAAAGGAGGGTGAGAATGGTTGCACAACTTGAAGAATGTAACCAAAGTCAATGAATTGTACATGTAGAAACTGTTGAATGGATGTATGTTTTGCTGTGTATATTCTTAACAATGACAAAATAAACTATTAAAAACAAAAAGTAACAGGAAATAGGCTTCCCTCCAGCAAGGGTTTTGAAACTAAACATCTTCTCCACCCCATAAAAAGGATAAATTTGTAGTAACACTCATTTCATCAATGGGAAAATGGGACTGGGGAGAGGAAGGTGATGTGCTCCAGGCAACACAGTCGGACACAAGGCTAACACCCACACTCCTGATGTTTTCATGACACCGACTAGGCTGAGTTTCTGAAACCCGACTAGAGATGAGCAGACCAACCCAAAACACCAGGGCAATCCCCACCCCGAGCCAGGGTAGTATTTGTTGTTGTTGTTAGTTGCTATCAAGTCAGCTCCAACTCATGGCGACCGTATGTGTAACAGACGTTTGTTGCCTGGTCCTGCACCATCTTCATGACCTTTGGTATGTTTGAGTCTGTTGTTGTGGCTACTGTGTCAATGCATCTCATTGAGGGTTTCTCCCGTTTTCACTGACCCTCGACTTTACCAAATAGGATGTCCTTTTTTAGCAATTGGTCTTTACTGATGACTTGTGCCAAGTAGGAAACCCTGGTGGTGTAGTGGTTAAGTGCTATGGCTGCTAACCAAAAGGCCGGCAGTCTGAATCCACCAGGTGCACCTTGAAAACTCTGTAGGGCAGTCCTGTGGGGTCATTATGAGTTGGGATCGACTCAACAGCAATGGTTTTGGTTTGTCCAAAGTAAGCCTCATCCTCCAAGCTGCTAAGAAAAGCCGTAACATGAGACTACAGTGCCCCCTACTGCACAAAACCTTATTTCTACTCTAAAGACTTCAAGGTACATTCCCCAGGACACATGTACCATATATCCACCCATAGGGACCAGCACGTATGAAATTAACCAAACCAAACCCAGTACCATCAAGTTGATTCTGACTCACAGCGACAGAGTACAACTGCCCCCTAAGCTTTCCAAGGAGCAGCTGGTGGATTCGAACTGTCGACCTTTTGGTGAGCAGCTGGTTTCTTAACCACTGCGCCACCGGGGCTCCATGTCTGAAATTAGGAGCTATAAACTCTCAAAGTCTTTGGGAAGATCTCCATAGGACTCATAACCACAGAGCAGTGGTGGCCAATCATCCAGGCTTTGGTGTCAGACCTGGCCTTTGCCCCTTGGTAGCTGTGGGACTCTGGGCAAGTTGGTTAACCTTTCTGAGCCTCATTTCCTAAGTAACTCCTGTAGAGTTGAGAAGTTTAGTAAGGTCCTTGGCATGGTGCTTAGAACATGAGGGGCACTCAGCACT